TACTCTTTCACAGTGTGTGTCAGTATAATATAGCACATATATTTCTCCACACATATACATCACATACACATTTCTCTTTTCTATCAGCACTTATAGAATATATATATATATATATATATATATATATATATATATATATATATATATATATATATATATATATATATATATATATATGAAAAAAAACTTAATTTTAAAGGACCAAGGAGGAAAATCACTAATTTTGGAAGCATTTTTTACAAGAAAAAATGACACTTTTGTTGTGCAAAAAAATAAAAATAAAAATTTGTTTGTGATATTAAAACTAAGAAGAATTTGTAGCAGGAAGAAGTAACAGTGGATGTTCCCACATTGCAGAAATGGTGATCCTGTCATTTAAAGAAGTCAGAGTAATGACACAAACAGGACTATCAAAACCTGGCAGGCCATGATTCAACAAACCAACAGTAATAATGTGGGACACCTCCAGGTTTAGGACTATCTGCAAAAGCTTGCAATCAATACATTCTTTGCTTTACTCTTAAGAAAGCTAGCTAATGAAAGCAAAGGTGGTGGTCAAAGACCCACTCTTAACAGGAAGAAGAGTGAAGAAAGCTATAACCATGCTTTAGTGATTTGTGTGAGATGGAAACTATTACTAAATGTGCTGCCCGCATTCTTGTGGTGCAGAAATCATGGAACCGAGAACTACTATTAAAACAGGCTGTACAATAAGAAAATTAACAATGCTCATCTAAAACCAACATCATCTGAATCAATTTAATCAAAGCTCTGCTTTTATGTTTAATTTCATACACATTTTATTATTTTCCAAATTTACAATATCATTTCTACACTTGCAACTTTACACATAAAAAATGTGTAAATTATGTGTGACCAATGTATATACTACATAAACAATGAGGCACTGATAGAAGAGATGTTGGACTTACAGTTAAACCAAGCATCCATATTTTTCATATGTTGGTGTGCAATTGCAGTGATTCTACACCTAAATGTTTAGAACTTGCCTTTCACCTCCTTGAATGAGGGAAGTATTCGTAACTGTTAAAACATAAGCTGTGTGACAAAGGCAGAATAGGCAGGTCTCTTGCGATGGCTGATCTTCCAGAAATCTGAAGGAGAGACAAATAGGCCTTCGGCAACAACTCCTGCAACAGTTTATGCTGTTCAAATCATGAAATAATGGATCAAAAAGATGAAAAGAAACAAAATGATTAGTGGACCTTCTTTATTCTTGTAAGCATGCAGAAAAACAGTTCATACATAGCACTTTCTGTCACTTGTCATTATAGCAGTTTAAAGTCAATTCTACAAGCAGCAAGCACATACAGACATCAGCTACAGATAAAGATGAACTCCAGAAACCTTTAAGTATCTCTCTAAAGACTTCTGAAGTCCTAACCACTTAAACATAAATTGCTTGGAAGTTATCCAGCAGAATGGCTGCAGAAATAACAAAGCAGCATTCTGAAAACTTGGAGAAAATGCATAGCATTTGGGTGGTGGAAGTTATCCAGCAGAATTCATAAACAAATGCATCAGATTGGATAGAAGTTACCTAATAAATATTAGATTAACACAGTGATGTGAACTTTTGAGAATTTGACAAAAATCTCAAAGGATTAACCAACATAAGCAAATGCAAGAGAAAAACAAGGCTTTCAAAGGATTAACCAAGCATGCAACACATTCTTCTTTTTATTTTAGGCAATATGCCATCCATGTGGAAGCAAGTTATCATTTACTATCCATATGGTACATAGTTCTCAAACATAACTCTGCTACTGAAGTCATTTGACAATTTTGATTTATGCCAAAGTGCAAGCGAACACAACAATATTAAGAAATGTCATGATATCAAAACTAAATGGTCAATCTGACGAAATGTGAAAATATTTATATTTAAAACTTACCTATAATCTGATTACATAAACAAATGAAGCATCGTTTAAGATCAGTACTGCACATGTAACAAAATAAGCCTATGACAAACGCATAAAAGAAATCCTTTTTGACAAAACATAGAACAACTATATTTTTATATAAGCCATAGATTGACCTTCCTATTGAAGGTCAGCATTATCTTAGGGTCCCATATTCAGCTTCATACTATGAAGTGAGCTTGAAAAAAATAAAAAGCTGTCTGTAAGTGACGAAAGAACCAAGTTTTTTTCACAGTATGCTGATTAACTCGTGAAACTTACTTCCATCAAAGAGTTAACATAAATAAATAAGATATGGTTAATCAGTTCACTAAAGCATCTGTAACCTTTATGAAGGTGATGCAAGTCTATAGACAAGATGATCATCCACTGTCCCAAATCTGCATATTTGACGCTGAAAATCATGTTGACTTCATATTTCAGAAATGTTACTTCTGGATGCCTTAGCCAAATTTCTCTCTCCTTGTTAGTGTACAAGATCATCATGTGTTCATTTTAAATGTATATCAAAATCTTAAAATTCCCCATTAAACAGTATGATAATGTGTCTGAATTTTAATTTTCTTATATCAATATTAGAAACTTGAAGCCTTAAATATTAGTAAAAAATTATATGTCACATAGTCACAATTTAGCAACAATGACAGACCTTTTAGATGTTTTAAATTTCAATTTATAAAGAGCTAATAAAATAAACAAATAAATTTATAAGATAATTGCAATATCAGCTATACTATATGGATTGATACGTCAAGATGATTAAGAAACAATATGTACAAATACATTGGTATCTTTGTTATGAATGTTTGGGGTTACAACAAAAATAAATAACACATTTATATACATAAACAAGCAGAGGTAATCACAGTCAAGGAATAATTATAATGAAAAATTTTCAAATTGACATGGACCTTTTCAAATAAGACATGCAAATGCACCAATTAGATGATGTGATTTAATGAGGATTAGCAATTTGATGAGGTATAGAGTACCTCATAATATCTTATTAGTAAGGATTTTAATTTCGAATGATACCGTCCGTACCGGGCGGTACATATCGGTACGTGGACCACCCGCTACCGGGCGGTATCAGCCTGGCTACGACGAGGGAAGAAGAAGCATCGAGAGAGAAGGCGCTTGAAGAAGAGGGAGAACCTCGACGCTTTCGATCTGGCACTGCCCTCCCTCGACAATCCTGATTCATAAGGTAACGGAGAGGCGACGGCTCGGCTTCTTCTTCGCCATGTTCTTCGCCAAAGGCCGGAGGTGTCTGCGGCCTTCAACGCCTTCGTCGAATGCCGCAGATGAGGAGAAGACCGTCTTCTCCTCATCTGCGGCCTTCTCCTCATCTGCGGCCTTTTCTTCTTTTTTTGTAATATTATATATATATATACACACATATGTACCGAGTGGTACACCCTAGCGTACTGTACCGAGCATTACGAACCTTGGTTATTAGAAATAACAAAAAGTAAATTAATGTCTCTTGCTTTGACTAGAGGTATTGCCCTTGAAAAAGCTCAATGACCAATGCAGTCAACCACAAAAAGTTGTTACAAATTGCTTTGTCATTGCCATTTTTGAAGCACTAAAGTCCAAAATTTTGGTAATTGCATCAATAGACATCATATGGTGATGGACTACAGAGCACTTCTCAAAATCAGGAAAGCTTATTGGACTATTTGATAAAATTTTACAATAAGCGGCCAAATAGTCAAACCTCTAAGTTAAGAAACAAAAACATATATGTGCTAGCAGAAAAACATAAAAGACTAGCTTAGGAAAAGTCTAGGAGGAAAAAATGCAAAAACTTTTCTGTAGGAATAATGTTCAGATGAAAGACAGTACTAAAACAACACAAGCCACAAAAAAATATTTTTTTTTTTTCATAAGCTTTTCTGCAATAACATAATGGTTGGAATTATTATCTAAAGTTAGAAGAATTTGGGAATGTGATAATATAATGTCTTTGGAGTAGAGCTTTTCTGTCAGAAACTTCTTTTAATTCAGGGAAGCATCAAGAATTTGGTGTCTCTGTTGAAAGGGGAAGTATTCAGCTGTTTCAAAATATATTTCAGGTAATTTATTCTACAAAAAATTAAGTTCTAGTTAGCCATTGATTTTGCAATATCAGCTTCTCTTTTGTTGTTGCTTGCCTACTCATGACTACAGAATTCTAAAAACCTGTGTATTGTCTGTTTAATCTGTTTCTCAAAATTCAGCAGTTTCGTTCTTTTCCAGTCAATTCAATCTATTCCGCTATCTATTGCATCCTTGGTTACAGGACAAACTCTTAGAATATGGAATATTGAAATACAGAATCAAACAGAACGATTCCCACCAGATGGACAAAAGAAAATTCCACAAACAAAATTAACAAAGATATCTATTTCACAATCAAGTCAATCCACAAACAAAATTAATGCACACAATTATATTGTTCTTCTTAGATCAAAAGCGGAAGAAGAAGGTATAACAAATTTGTTATTCAAATTCAGTTACTAAGCCTTACCGAAACCAACAAGACACGAGCCCGCGTGCAGAAGGGTCAGTAATCTCGAGAAGGATACTGCCACGGCTATGAATCCGGCGGTTGAGGGGAGGAAAGGCAGACGGAGAGAGCGAGACGCGCGCGCTGGCACTGTGACCGCTTGAGGGAGGTACCGGCGCTGGAGCAGAGGCTACGCACGGCCTCCGACTCCTCGGGGCAGCAAGCGGACACGACGCACTCGGCCAGCGAGCGGTTCAGGTGTCGGCACAGCACCGCCTGCTGCCGCGGGTCCCCGGCACGCCGGTGGCACTGCAAGAGCGCGCGGTGAAGCGAGCCGCAACCCAGCGGCACGGCCACCCCCGTTCCGTCGCCGTCGCCTCCTCGTCCTCCCATGGGATCCACTCAACGGGTAGGGCGCCCGTCGGCCGGTCTATAGTCTGCGCAAACAGCAGCTCAAATCGGTTCGGTCCAGAAATCAACATATTTGTAATTAATTATTAGTAAATTTCGTTTTTATTTCTAAATTTATATTTATAAAGTACAATATATGAACAATAAATTAGATATAGCAATAAGAAAATAATTATGATATTATTAGGTTTTTTTTCCTTGCATATATGTTTTAATCATCTTTCGTAATTCAATCGAAAAATCGAGAGATGACAACAATATCTTTTCTTCACATCTGTATAGATAAATAAGCAACTCAGCAGTTTGATTCGTTTCTCGATGAATAAAAGAAACTATCACAAGCTTAATCTCAAGCTTATCAACTTAATCTGCTCGTTTAATCTATTAATTACATGGAGCTCTGTATCGTTTGATTAGACTGTCTATTATAATGTTAAGATTATAGCAAAAGTCAATAGAGTCAATTCTATTATTTATAGTTTGTAAAAGATGGAGGAGAATAATCTATAGCTGATCCAAAAAAGATGTGACCTTCTTTAGGTATTCTATTCACCACTATGAATATAATCGTATATAGGAATATATGTAGCATAAATCGAAAGATCGTCAAGATTTTGTGATCCCCTTGTCGAACTTATTCCAATTCCAACAACTCGGACTACTTTATATCAAGAGATAAAATATATTATTGATATAAAATATATTATTGAATTACTTATTCAATGAATATTCTCAATAATATGTATTGAAACCGATTCAAATATTCATGTTCTTTAGCATGAGATTTTGAGTATCCATATCTATCATGTTCACCATCAATTAAATCGTAGTCTATGAATATAATATATATCTAATGTGATATATAAAATATAAAAAAAATATTAGAATATTTTTATCGATTGATTATGATATATCATATAGGCTCAGATTCGACATCAAATTACTTCGATTTGAATTATCCGAAAGATACCTCTTTTATATATATATATATATATATATATATATATATATATATATATATATATATATATATTTCTTGATTTGGTCTAAGAGGAAAAAACTTATAGCTGCTCGGTGATTATTTTAATTATTTTAAAAACTATTAACATATTTTTATTCATTCATTATGAAATAAAGATAATAAGATAGACGAGTCATATTATTCTTTATAAAACTTATGGTATTTCTAACTAAAAATAATAAATTAAAATAAAATTTACAAAAGATAAGTGATAAGGATGAGATTAAAATTTAAAAGATTATCGTTAACTGTCAAAATCTTTATTAGTTAAATAGATCGAGATTTAAGGAAAACATAACTTCATTTTAGATAAGAGGATATTTTAATCATTTGAAATAAAAAAAATATATATGTAAATATTACGCAGTCTTAGTGGGGACTATCGGCGGAGTATTCCGACTATCCAATAGGGAGGCGGGTACGGGAACGGGTATATCGTCAACAATGGGAAATAATTTTTGCTTCCAAAAGCTCCCATCAGAAGCCGTTGGATCACCCACTGATTTAGCAACGTGGCTCGATCAGATCCGTCGCCATCGTCTTTCCCCCTCTTGGGCGGGCACACACGCGCCTCGGAAACTACAGCACACCCTCGTTTCCCTTTCCTTTGGTGCCATCTCGCCCATCCCCACTCGGTGCGCTTGAGCGGTCGCCATGTACTAGAAGCGACGAAGTCACCGATCTCTCACCGGGAGTTCCTCGCTCTCTCGCAACAAGGTAAGGTGATCCTCGTCGATCATAACCCGTAGCCGATTTGATCTACCTACACCTTTATGCAATTTGCTGTTTGATGTGTTTCTGTTTCTGTCGGATCATGTTATGTTTCTCGTTTAATCGGCTGCAATTGATGTGTCCACCGGGTTATTCTTGACGATCGATGATCAGAGACTGCGATCGTGCGTGTGGCAAGTAGGGTGGATCGGAGTCTTCAAGGTGTTGGGATTCGTTTCGGTGGAAGCCGGGAAAGATGTCGAGTGGAGAAGTAAGGAAGGTGTCCCGTCAGGACATACAACTCGTAAGCGGATTTTTCTATGTTTATGTTTGTTCTTCGCTTGTTCTTCGCTTTTGCTCAGTTCCGTTGATCGCAGTAGTTGTGCCTTTTGCGCATCTGATTTGATTTAAGTTGTACATTTATTTGCTTGCATATATATGATGGGTTGAAATTATTCGTCATTAGAATTCGAATAACGATTGAGGGTCTTTACTTGATGACAAATTTGAACAAGAGATGACTGATTGGGAGCTGTAGTTCTTATATCACGTGCTTCGTTTTTTGCAGTTTATGAACTTTTGAAGTATTGGACGAATACAGGTTGTGTGCTTCATTTTCAGTTTATATATTAAATTTGTATGCAATGTTCTGGTTTCAGTTCCTTCTTTGCGTGCAATACATTTCTGGTTTTAGTTAGATTGAAGGAGCATTCAATTACTTAGGTTTAGCAAATACAACAAGTTCTTGTCGCTTGTACCATAGATTGTCTAAGATACACATTTTTGGTGTAATTTGCTGATATAATGAGCTTAGATCATAGTCACTCTGTCTTCATAGTTCCACATTTTCATGTATTCTGAAGGCATACAACTTTGAAGCTTCTTGGAATTTCATGAAGCAACCAAGTCAATGGTATAAGAAGGATTCTTTAAATTGAATGTTTTATGTTTATTGGATACAATACCTGTATGATGCACAACTAATACTATTAAGCTTTTAAACTTTTGCCAAATGCATGAGTGTCAATCTTTCATAATTATGTTTGCCTTATTGGTTTTTCAATTTATGGTTTTGTCTACATTTCTGTTCCTAAGACAACTTGATAGCGATGTACTTCTTTGCAGAAGAACGTTGTTAATCATAAGAGGATATTTCAACTTATTTTTTCAGATTTTTTATGCTTGATAATATATTACTCATTTTATCTAATTTTCTGAGGTAAGACAGTGATATTCTTTTCATTGATTTTCTGAATTTTCAGGTTCAGAATCTTATTGAACGATGCCTGCAGCTGTATATGGACCAGAAAGAAGTAGTTGAAACTTTATCTTTGCAGGCAAAGATAGAGCCTAGTTTTACTCAACTTGGTAATTTCAGAGTAAATCATCTGCACGTGTCCATTATTTGACCAAAAGCTCTTTTTGAGATTTTTTTCATGTGGATTTGGAGCAATATTCTCAAAAAGTAATACTAGTATCGGTTATTCCTTTGTTCAATATGCAAGCATACCATCAAAGTTAGCTGGCTGATTCACAAGGAAACCAAGATATACGCATAAATGTGAACATTCAATGCTCATAAATACACTTTGGTTGAAGGTTTGGTCTTATATGTTCTAATGTCTTTATATTGAGATCACTGTTTCTGGTGTTTAGATCTAGCAGTTGAAGACCCATTTGATGCACTGGGCTGTCCTTTTGGTTCTGTTAGGTGCATTTGGCTTGAAACTTCTTGGTTTTCTTTTCTTCTTTTCTCAGATGCATCAACAAAGACTGAAAAGAGATGAATATTATTTTTGTGCACTTTGGAACGTAAGTGGTGAATATTATAAAATTTTGTGTTCTAGTGGCATTTTTTTATAATTTTTATCCTTGAGCTGATGTAGAGCCATGAAATTGGAACTGCTAATTTTCATTAATTTATTTTTCTGACATTGTAGATGTTGGTATGTTAGATGTTTTTTCATGCTCATAGACGCTAATGTCTCTTAATCTTTGTATGACCTAATTCATATTCTTATCTGAACCAATTTAAACCAATTAATTTCTGTAATGACCGCTGCCATGTTTCAGAGTTAGTGAATGGCAGACTGTAAACATTCCTTGAATGTTTCATGACCGAAATGCTGTTGACAATTATTTTATAGCTATTTCCAAGAAACCTGCTGATATGTATTTTAGGAGTTATATACAGTTTATGATGCTTCTAGTTTATGCTTTTAATGATTTTCATGTTTGGTTGATTTACAGTTTGGCAAAAACTTGAGGAGGAAAATCGAGAATTTTTCGAAGCATATCATGTTAGACTGATTCTTAAGAACCAAATATTGGTTTTTAACAGGCTTCTTGAGAAACAGGTTGAGCTGATGCAGGAAGCATGTCCTACTGGAATTTCTACCATATCCCTTCCCAATGGCTCTAATGCTCCTGCTTGTATGTCGATCTCTAATTTTGCTGCTAATACTTTATTGTTTTTGTCACTTATGCGAATGGCCCGGAGCTTGCTATCATAGCAAATAACTCATTGCTATATTGTATATCACTTTCTTTTAAAATGCCACCATCTAATTCCTTGACTATTTTACAATGCTGTGCTTAACCCTTATTATCCATATAATGGGAAAACCTCATGCTGCTACTGAGTCTCTTTCATCTGTTATATAGAAATTGCATTTCTTGGTGTTTAATGGTGGATGTTGCTAGATACAAAAGGAGAGAGATCAAATATTAATTTTAAGGTTCATTAGGTTTTATGTTTACTGACATATGCCCTCTTTCGATGTGTGGAAAGTAGTGAAGAACATTGTTAATGGGGAAGTATTGGGACTTATGGTCTTCTCAGTTTTCCTGGTAGAAACTCATGTTTTCACTGAATCAGTTTTGGATTATGTAGTTTGAGATATTGTAGCTATACCATTGATGGTTTTTTGGTCAGAGATGCTAGGAAACCTCCTAATAACTTGCTTACAAGATCACCGTAGTAGATACATGGTATCATTTTTTGAATTAGTTGATATTCCATGGTGTGATCCGGTTTGCTTGATTATTAAAGTTTTTGAAAGCTCCGTCTATTGAGGATCAAATAACTGCATATTCCATATGCGGTTAAGTATTTCGTAACCGAATCATACAATAGAATTAAAGTTTTTCTATTAAGAAGAAACTAAGAACTAAAATTCTTCAGATGTATAATTTCCACCTGTTTGTCACTGTTCTTCCTTGATACCTGAGATTAGAGTTAAACTTAAGAAAATCTGACTATAAGCAATTTGGAGTTA